CGGGAAAAAAGAACCCCAAACTTAAACACAGGAAGACTTTTAAAACCAAAACAGTCAGTGTGGTGCTAGAACTGCCATTTTGTGTAATAGCAGAAACATGTTTGCATGATGCTATTCACCTCAGCTTAACAACAGTAATCAACATTTAGTGATTAAAACCTCTCACCAAAGTTGTCCTAAAACTATTGAATATTCTTGTCTTGAATTATTCTTTATTTTTATCCAATTCAAATGTTGACCACTATAGACTAAAATGGTGGCATTTGTAAGCACAGTGGTTAGCAGTTTCCAGTTTTCTTCAGAATATCATATTGTTGCTCAACAGAACAAAAACTCACTGGTTTGGAACAACGTCAAGGGTGAGTAAATGACATTGTTTTATTTTTTTTTGGTGTGAACTATCACTATAAGAATGATATCAGGTACTTGTTGAGGATTAAAATTTCCACAGTTTCCTCAGTTACAGATTTAAAAGACAAAACGGCGGGAAAAAAGAACCCCAAACTTAAACACAAGAAGACTTTTAAAACCAAAACAGTCAGTGTGGTGTTATAGAAGCTGCCATTTTGTGTAAAGAACACAAAACATGTGAAGATGTAACATGTTAGCACGATGCTAGTCAACCACAGTAGTCAAGATATGAAGTAGATCAAAACCTTTTACCAAAGTTGTCCTAAAACTATATTGAGCCACAACCATTCTTGTCTTCAAATGTTGACTGAAGACTAAAAGACTACTGCTGACTAAAATGGTGGCATTTGTAAACACTTACCTGCACAGAATTTCAAAGTAATTTTGACCAAACGCAGCTGTGTTTTCTGTGGCTGACTTCATGTACTGCCTGTCCCTCACATCAGGAGTCTTGATGTTCTTTTAGGATAGAAACGCAGAGGCTGTTTAAGCACTTTAGTACATCCTAATGAACAAAAGACCACAACGTCTTATTCTGCATAAAGTAAATAGCACTTTATCTTTGATGAATCCAGCTCCATTCTCTCTCCCACTTCACTTCCTGACCAACTGAACCGTTCCATAAAGAATAAAGAGAAAATAATGTGGGAGGCATGGAGATAAAAAAATAAGTTTTAGATGCAAAATAATAGCATTTGTTACATGCATATATGTGGGTGTTTCACCTTTGGGCCTTCGCTAATCGCTCTGCTATCAGAATGCGACTTAATTGATTTGAATGCTGTTTTGCATTGTTTTTAATGTTTAGCCAACACATCAACATTCATCCTTGCTGTCTATAAACAAACTAAACTATATTATATGACTAAATTATATAAGAATGCTATATTTTTAGCTCAAACTCTAGCCTTGTTTCCTTGTTTTGGAATAAAATAGATGCTATTTTACCTCTAGGACCTTTGAGCTTTTTGAAAATCCCACACAAAGGAATATTTTGGATGTTGTGAGGCGCTGTAGCTTAAAATAATATTACATAAGAAGAGTCTAACAATGCTATTTCCTCCACTTCTGCCATCATGCTATCAAAAAAGAAGGCATTAGCCAACAACATAACAGCGTTTCAATAGCTCTACAGTGTTTAACTTGCTTATGTGGTCAGGCTAGCACTACATTACTGACATTATCCTGAGACTCTGATGTTACATAAAGTGGGCCATTCAACAAAATGGCAGCCGGTAAATTATGTGTAAATGATGACTTGTGGCTGTAGCTCAATGCATTTAGACATGACGATCTGCTAAAGTTCAACACTAGCAACAAAACATGCTAGCTAAATGGTACAACACGCTATTGAAGTGCTAAACATGCAATATTAAATCAAGCAAGCAACCTGATACAATCTTGATAGCAAAACCATGCTAAAAGAGGTTAAACGTGCTAGAAACGATAGCATGATAGCAAATATTATAGCATGTTATAGCATAACACACTGCAAAAATGCTTTACTTATTTAAAAGATCTAAAAGAAAATCAAATAGCCAATTCTGATAGACTATTTAAGCTTACAAGATGCGCTTCCCCTGTTTCTACATTGTTATTAAGGTGTTAGTTCATTCTAATAGACATTTGAGGCTGACATAGTACACTACCCCAGTATCGTTTGATAAAATTTGACAAATTGAGCTACCATCAGAAACCCGGTCAGAAGAGAATGGAGGAAAAAATTAAATTACAACCTTAGGATGCAGAAGAGCCTTTCTAAAAGCACAATACGTTGAAACTTGCAGCAGATGGGCTACAGCAGCAGAAGGCTTTTGTTCGCTACAGTAAAAAACAGTTTCTACTATTCCCAAGAGATTACCAAAAAAATTTGACATATATGAGCCAAAATATGCCTAAAACGCTCATGGTCCAGCACATACCGCCAAAACAAACAATGAATGGACTCTACAAGACATGGACGTTATGTGACGTTAGTTGCAGATCCTTCAAGTCTTGTATTGGTTATGGGGTGGAGATGCCAGCATGGATCAAACATGTTGGTCCAGCACAATGCTATTTCATGGCAATTCGTGACTTGATTTAGAGGCTAATTTGTATGATTTCGTACGATCTCATTCGAACAACTTAGTATGATTTGCTAATCCCCTAATGATAGTATGATGTAGGGGTGAGTTTTGGTGCCACACCTTCTTTTATAAATCAGGGTTTAATGCTAAGGACATTTTCTACTGGCCCGACTGGACCAGCGGTTCAGATTTTTACTTGCCCTGAAAAATTTTTTACGGGCCCCACCAAAATAAATAAATAAAAAATAGTTATTTCCTAGCCACCTATTTTAAATAATGTGTCAAAAATAATGTCTGTGAATCCAGAACTTAAATATTTAAAAATATTTAAAATATTTAGCAGTAAAATACAGCAGTATGGAAAATGTGCAGGTATTTTATTGCAAAGCAAAAGGTGGCTGATTTAAATGTGACACAAAACTATGCAAAACATCACTTCATTTTTTTTTGCCGTGTTGTACCCATGTAAATACATTAGAAATGTTAGAAACAGACGTTTTCTTTTAGCTTCATAATTTGATGTTGTTGTCATGTTACCGTCTCTTCACTGTACTGGTTTTTACATCCAGTCAGATAAAAGGAACCAAAAAGCAATATGGTGTTTACGACTTCACAGAAAAGGTAGCATTCAAAGACTTAAAAAAGCACAAATTGTTTCTCGATTCTAACACTGTATTTGCACGCAATTGACAAATTGTCACAGGCAAATTAGAATTTTGTAACAAGGCAGCACTGGCCTGATCGGGCCAGTAATGATTCTCTCTTCTGTCCCGAACATCTCTCACGCTGGCCCCGGGCCATCGGGCAGTCCTTATTGTTGAGCCCTGTAAATCATAGATTTTCGGACGACTCAACTCTGATCTGATTAATTCAGAGGCCAGTGCAACACCCTGAACTTTCTTCTGCATGTTCTTCATTCTTGATTGCATTATCTTGATGAAATAGGCCACAGCATGCACCAGTTCCATGAAAGGGTATACCTGGTTTGCTGGAAATTCTGTCTAAGCTGTCAATCTAACGTCATTCCAGATCAAAGGCAAATATTCCAAAAAACCAAGGCAAGTGTCTAATTATTTGTTCATTCATTCATTCATTTTCATTTTCGGCTTAGTCTCTTATTAGTCCCTAATTATTATTATTCTATTTACTTAAATGTATTTGTTCTATGGACTAATTTGCATGAATCAACTGTTTGTGACCCTGGACCACAAAACCAATCTTATGTTGCACAAGTACGTTTACAATATGTTGCATGAGTCAAAATTGTTAAATTTTCAACTTTTGTAAAATTTCACCTTCCATTTAGTAAATTTCCTTTTGTAAATACATGTAGAGTGCAGAAGTTTGCCCTGCGCGCTTGCGGTTTTTAAAGAAACTTATTTGGCGCATCAATTTTGTCAATGCTAATATTCAAAAAGGTAATGATTCGCACTCATCAATTGCTTCGTACTGTTTTTCTTTTTACATTCTTCGGGTGATTTAAAGACACAAACGTTTTGGCACAATGCCTTCCTCAGTGTGTGAAATATATGTAAATATATCAAAACGTATTTTTTTAAACAAAAATATACATTTCTAAGACCTTATTTGGACAACTTTAAAGGCAATTTTCGAATATTTAGATTTTCTTTAAAATCTTGAACAAATATTGTTCAGTCTCAACAAACCAAACATCAATGGAAAGCTTATTTATTCAGATGTTGTAAGTATCAATTTCCAAAAATGGACTGTTTTTTGTTGGTATTGGTGGTTTATATGGACTCTCCATAGACATAATGTATTTTATATGGAAAAAAATGCTAATTATATGTCCCTACCCCTAAATCTAGCCCTCATATTAAAAAACGGTGGCAAAAAAATAGTCAAAAGACCACATAAAATATAATTTTGAAGCGTTTGAATTAGAAGGACACCAGCAATGTCCTCGTAAACCACTGTAATACAGTACAACTATCACTAAGAGAAGAGCAACAGCAGGTAAGAGCACTGCTCTCTTATTTACTCAGATTTTGTTTGCGGTTTGTCATCAAGAAATGTATATTAGCGTTATTTACATATTAGTAGGCTGTAATTAGCTATCATATGCAATGTTGTTAGTGATGGTTACGGTGTTTACATAGCCTATGTGACATTATACTAGTACACACACACACACACAAAGTTGAATTTAGTGGAGACAAGAATCCAAAATCCTCTTAAATCTCAGTTCATTTAATTCCATTGAAAGTCCATGAATGTTATCATATCCATAACTCACGAAGGGTAAACGTCAACACGTCATGGTTATGGTATAATCTGTATTGTATTGTAGACATTAAGGGCTAATCTCTAAACTGCTAAATGTGTTAGCAATAACCCAGATTATTCATGATTTAATTAACCCATTATATCCCTATCATTTACCTTAAAATGGCACTTTAAAAAAACATTCATTCAACCTGGATATGTGTTTTCTTATCGAAACTGACGTCAAGCAAAGTCTTTTCTCTTGCCAAGGCTGTTCGGATAAAGAAGCTGTAAAATTCACTCCAATGTAGCTCTTCAACGTAACATGACGGCAAAGCAGAACTAGCGCTCGGTGGGCTTGAGTCACACACACATACACACACACACACATACTGAGAGAAGAGCAGCAGCAACAGCAGGTAAGAACACTGCTCTCTTATTTACTCACTAGATTATGTTCGCTGTTTGTCATCAAGAAATGTATATTAGTGTTATTAATATATTAGTAGGCTGTTATTAGCTATCAAATGCGATGTTGTTAGTGATGGTTAGGGTGTTTACATAGCCTATGTGACATTTATAACTTGACGGTGATAACAAATCTTTACGGAAAATTAAATAACTATGCTTAAATCGACATCTACGTTCACAAGTGTTTTGGTAACCGAATAATAAAGTAGACTGTGGGATAAATTCTAAAAATACAGTCGGTGTTATGTCACCCGCTAGAGAAATGAAGTTAGCTGGACTGAAGTATAATCTGGTAAGACTCACTTCATATTGTTATGTTGTCATTTTATAGCTATACACCGTTTAAAATGGGTTATTTGCGTTATGAAGAGAAAAGTTTGTTTATTATATTAAACGTTAGGCTATCCGCGTCTCATAAGCGCCAATTAAAGGATCAGGCGATTAATCTTTACGTTGTGTCGAATAGCTTTCATGTTTTTAAGTTCAAATGTCAGTGAAATCAAATATATGTAACGTGAGATAAATCATTTACCGTGTTGTAATTTCCGTGCTTCAATGGCTTGATTGGTTCTTGAAGTAAAGTGGATATAGGGATGTGAGAGGAGCTGTCCATGATCTGCGCTGCTGAACCAAGCGCGTTCCCGGCTGAATGATGGCATGCCTACTGTATTCACTAGTCGCGAATGGTAATTTCGTCCGATAGACGTTAATGGCAGTGCATAAAATGCACACTTAAATGTTATTTGGTAATGTGAACCAAATGGTGCGAATTACAGTTGGTTGTTTGGCGCGAACATCGAAATAAGTCAAAACAAAAGGTTGGTCGGGACTCAAAATTGCTACTGAGTTTAATAACAAACTTGGATGGCAAGTAGTTAACCTTTTTGAACTGTCACTGGCGAAGAGAAATCAAATTCAAAACCATTTAGCTAGCCTTAAATGGAAAAAAAACGGAAGGGCTACAACTGTTATGAGACCCAAAGAGCTATTCTGTAATGTTATGTCAATAGTACAGTGCAAGTCAATCAAAAGTAATTCAACCTATAGCATAATAACCAGATCAATATAGTCTCAAATATAGGCTACTTTATAATAAAACTATCTTAACACTGATTTTTATCACCTCATCATGATGCCTATGATTTGCAGAGCTGGTGCAAACACATCCACATCATGATCAGGTGCTTCTTAACTGCTTCTGACATTTTTTTGTGTTTAATTTTATGTAGAGCAGCATGTTGACATATTCATTTTTATGCAATTAAATAATGAAAAAGGGGCATAATGGAATATTTTAAAAGATATTTCACTAAAAAATGTAAATTTACTCACTTCTTACCTTGTCTCAAGTGTTACCAAGCATTTACGAGTTTCCTTCTCTTTATTTTAAAACACAAATTAAGGTATTTTGAAAGTAACTCTCCAGAGGCACACCAACAGTATATATTTTGCATGTCTCCCTTATCTGACCCATTAACTTCAGGTTTTGGAGTCTCTTCCAATGTTCTGGTGAGTTGATTCAGGTGTGTTTGATTAGGAAGTGGTTGAAAACATGTACTGTTGGTGTGCCTTCAGGAACAGAGTTGGGAAACACTGACTTGTCTTAGAATTTATATACTGATGATACATTTCTGTTGAGTTTAATTGCTTCTTTTATATTAAGTCGCTTTGGATAAATGAATAAAAGTAAATAGTATGCTGGAAACCTGTAACCATCGACAACCAAAGTTGGAAAAACAAATGCAAGTCAATGGTTACCGGTTTCCAACATTTTTCAAAATACCTTCTCTTGTGTTCAACTGAAGAAAGAAAATCAACAGTTTCATGACAATTGAAGAGTGAGTAAATGATGACAAAATGTTTATCTTCAGGTACACTGTCCCTTTAAATCAAGTTCAGTCTCTTTATGCTAGTATGCACAAGTACGAGCACTACCTAGCATGCAGTTGCTGGCTGCAGTTCACTATAGTGGCCACCAGTGTTGCTAACCACCATAATTCTAAATATAACTATTTTAGATATATTTAGCTATTTAGTCATTGTTTACATAAAAATAAACGATGTGAAAGAAACACAGAGGAGCATGTTAAATGATTGAAGAAGATATATAATCTAAAAAATATTTATAAATATTGTGTGGGTTTCCTCCGGGGGCTGCTGTTTGCCCCACAGTCCAAAGACCTGCACCATGGATGAACTAAATTGGCCCTAAGTGTATGAGTGTGTGGGGGAATGTGAGAGTATATGGGTATTTCCCAGCACTGGGTTGCGGCTGGAAGTGCATCCAGTGCTTAAAACATATGATGGAATAGTTGGCGGTTCATTCCACTGTGGCAACCCCTAATAAATAAGGGACTAAGCCAAAGAAAAATGCATGAATGATTATATATATATTAAAAATATCATGAGGAAATGAAACAAATTTATGTATTGTCAGAAAAGTGGCTGATTTCTATGAATTTATACGATTTAATTTAAATGAAAATGTAACATTTTTAAAAGGAAGCATGTCCCAAGCCCCACCCCTAAACCTACCCCTCATTAGGGGACGAGCAAATCAAACTGAAATGTACAAATGAGACCATATAAATTCATATAAATTCTCCACTAATCAAAAAGTTAAGAATTGCTGTGAGATTGTGTCGGAAATGGGCGGATTCAACCAATAAGTGAGGTAAGCGGCCGCTTAGATGCCCAGGAAATCTGGGGGCCCCCCAATAATTATCTAGAAGTATAAATTATACCTATAAACTATATAATGTTGTTTTCTATCATATTTTGTATGGTGAGAGTCAAATAAAAGTTTAGAATAATTAAGTAGTATTTAATATTAATTAAAATATAATATTATTATAATAATGTAATGTTATGCAGTAATAATATTATACAATATTATTGTTACATCTGCACAAATTTGGCAACAACCCTTTATCATTGATTCATTGAAATCATTGATTCAGCAGTCAAATTTATATATATATATATATATATATATATATATATATATATATATATATATATATATATATATATATATATATATATATATATATATATATATATTAATATATATATATAATCTTTTTTTGTTATAAATTAATTTCATGAAAACTAAGCATTTGTGTAGAGATTGCATTAAGATAAAATGTTGAAAAGAAGTTTGAGTGATATTTAAGAAAGAGCTAAATAAATAAAAATGAAATAAAAGTAGAATTTTAGGACTGTTGGGCCTCATGGCTAGAATTGTTTAGGGCCCCTAAATCTCAAATCTGCCCCTGGTTGGAAATATCAGCCTGATCTCATGAGGAAACGTAATGGTTTTTCAGTTTAGTGGCTAATTTGTACGAGTTCAGTCGTACGAAAATGAACAATTTTAAAAAGGAGGCGTGGCAACCAACCACAACCCCAACCGTCATTGGGTGATGAGCAAATTGTACTAAATTGTATGAATTAGATCCTACGCATTCATACGAATCAGCCACTAAATCAAAAATTTATGAATTGCCGTGAGATTGCGTTGGAAATATCTCTCAAGTTGATTTGTGATGATTTCTAGATATTAGAGCTGGGTTACACTTTATTTGAAAGTACTTGTTAAGTGTAACTATTCATTTTAACTACCTAATAATAGTAATTAATTATATATACTTACTATATGATTTGGGTTAGAACAGGGGTTTGGTTTATAGTGCATAGTATAATTGATTGTAATGACTATAGTAGGTACCTGGAATGTGTTATACACAAGTTATACCCAAAACAGTCATGTCACAGTCTGCTTTGCTTTATTTATTTCAACTGATTACACTCCTAAAGTTAAAGAAATAGTTCAACCTAAAATGAAAATAGACTCACTATGTACTCATCCTCAACAGGTTTCAAACTTCTGTTGAACACAGAAGATGTTATTTTGAAGAACTCTGAAAACCGGTAACCATTGACTTCCATGGTAGGAAAAACATTACATAAGCTAATTCTGAAAACGTAGCCCTATATACATTTCTGGAGATCGCAAATTATGTAGCCAGAGCTACATAGCATTTCATCTTTAAAACGAATTCTACGGGGCGGTATGTCACTGTTCCTTTTCACACTTACTAGCTGACCGCTTACCTTTGTATGGACGGCTTTTCGGCTGTTACCAGTGTGTTTAGTTTGCTCACCATGTATGTCGGAGGGCTTGAGACACAGAGCAGAGTTGACCACGACGATGGGGTTCGAGTCTGGTGAAGATTGGTGCTTTTGAAAACACTGCCGGTTGGTTTTAGGGAGGGGGCAGGTGGGTCAGCTGGTGCTATTGAAAACACTATTGGTTGGGTTTAAGGAAGTGAGTCAGTCAGTAAATTAGTCTACAGCAGTCTCTGGTAGATTTACGCGAGAAGAGCAGGCACGAATGGCACTCGAAAGAGAAATTTGAGATCTGTAAAAGCGTACACAGCGACCTCTGGTGGATTTGTGAACACAAAAACTGAAAAAAACGTACCTCCTGGCATGTATCAGGCGCTCTCCAGAAATGTATTTCAGAATGAGCCTGGGATGGATACTATTTAAGTCTATGGTTACAAGGATTCCAACATATTTTTAAATATCTTCTTTTGTGTTCAACAGATGAAAGAAACTCATAAAGGTTTGAAACAAGTAAAGGACGAGTAAATGATGAGAGAATTTTCCTTATTGCAAGAACTGTCCCTTTAAGTTAACTCATCTTAAATTGAGCATCTTCATTCTCTTAACTGAAGTAAATGTTAATTCAAATAGTTAAATAAAAATTAATGAAATGTAATCTGGGGTTCAACAAAACTGTCTAAAGATCAGGACAAAAGGTTAAAAATGAGGTGTCATCACACATAGCAAAATTAGGTAGCCAAAAAGATCAGCTGTCCTTTGCTATTAGTGTAGCAATGCATGATGCACAGCTCACCCAGACAGCTTTCTGTTGCCCGTCTGTGTGAATGTGTGACAGAGCTGTCAGAGTCATGTTGTTAACTAGCAAGTCATTCAATTTATGCATTCCCTGTACATTTATGATGGCAATGCAGTGGTGCAGTAGGTAGTGCTGTCGCCTCACAGCAAGAAGGTCGCTGGTTCGAGCCTTGGCTGGGTCAGTTGGCGTTTCTGTGTGGAGTTTGCATGTTCTCCATGCGTTCGCGTGGGTTTCCTCTGGGTGCTCCGGTTTTCCCCACAGTCCGAAGACATGTAGTACAGGTGAATTGGGTAGGTTAAATTATCCGTAGTGTATGAGTGTGTATGGATGTTTCCCAGAGATGGGTTGCAGCTGTAAGGGCATCCATTGCGTAAAACATGTGCTGGATAAGTTGGTGGTTCATTCCGCTGTGGCGACCCCAGATTAATAAAGGGACTAAGCCGAAAAGTAAATGAATGAATGATGAATGTACATATATGCGACCCAACAGTGGGGTTTCAGTGCCTCATTGTCTATTTAACAGTCAACAGTTAGAATGTACAAAAATAAGTGCTAAAATAATTTTTAATATTGCAATTTTTATTAAAGAACAGAGGGCAGCATGGTGGCTCAGAGGTTAACACTGTTGAAGGTTGCTGGTTGGACTGTGCATTTCTGTGTGGACTTCCTCCTATGTTGGCATGGGTTTCCTCCAGGTGCTCCGGTTTCCCCCACATGTGCTATAAACTAAATTGTTTGTAGTGTATGAGTGTGTGTGTGTGTGAATGAGTGTGTATGGGTGTTTCCCAATACTAGGTTTTGGCTGGAAAGGCTTCTGCTGCGTAAATCATATGCTGGAATAGTTGGCGGTTCATTCCGCTGTGGTGATCTCTGAAGTAGAGACTAAGCAGAAGGAAAACGAATGGATGTTACAACATAGGATTATATTGTAAACACCCCCCAAACCCCCACCCAAATAGGTAGACTTGATCTATAATGACAGAAAATAAAAAAATTGCAGTAAAAAAGAAAGGTCAAGGTCTCGAATACAAACGGCCGAAATGAGTTTCCTTCGCAGTGTGGCAGGGCGCACACTTATAGATAGGGTAAGGAGCTCTGTCACCTGGCAGGAGCTGGGAGTAGAGCCGCTGCTCATCCACATCGAGAGAAGGCAGCTGAGGTGGCTCGGGCATCTGTTCGGATGCCTCCTGGATGTCTACCTAGGCAGGTGTTCCAGGGATGTCCCACCGGGAGGAGACCTCGGGGAAGACCCAGGACACGCTGGAAGGGAATATGTCTCTTAGCTGGCCTGGGAATGCCTAGGGATCCTCCTGGAGGAGCTGGAGGAAGTGTCTTGGGAGAGGGAAGTCTAGGGTTCTATCCTAAGACTGCTGCCCCTGTGACATGGCCCCGGAAAAGCGGTAGAAAATAAATGAATGAATGAAAGTGAAAAAGAAAAAGTAACCTAGAAATGAGATGTAAAATAAGACACACATGAGTTTCGTTTCATTCATTTTCTTTCGGCTTAGTCCCTTTATTAACCTGGGTTGGCCACAACGGAATGAACCACCAACTTGTCCAGCATATGTTTCACGCAGTGGATGCTCTTTCAGCTGCAACCCATCTCTTGGATACATCCAAACACACTCATGCACACACATACACACACTACGACCAATTTAACTTACCCAATTCAGCTATACCACATGTCTTTGGACTTGTGGGGGAAACCCATGCGAACACGGGGAGAACATGCAAACTCCACACAGAAATGCCAACTGATATGCCGAAGCTACAAAAGATTTGACAGCATCACAAGTTATAATTCATTTCCTAACCTAAAACATGTTTGTATTTTTTGCCTTAGGAGTCAGTTGTGAAGAGGCTGTCTGTCATCAGGATATCTCATCTGGGATTTCGCTGTTGTAATACTAATGGACATCTCTCATTTTCAACATCCCATCTGATCCCTTTAAGTCGGAACCACTCCCAGCAGCCCATTCTCCTCTAAAGTGATTCAGACCTAGAGATGCCTGTCTGCGAACAACTTTAAGTCGAACTGACAGATTCATTTTAAGACTTTCCACGTCTTTTGCTTCACAAAGAAAACATACAAGGTCATACTACGAGCTAGACTCCCTGCATGGGAGAGAGCTGCTTCAATCAAACTGAGGCTTTTAAAGATCTGCCGTCCCCCATCTCCGGCCGACCCTCCGCGCTCTGCTTTCTGTCAGGATGAGTGACTCACAGGAAGCGACGTCCCCGGTGGCGGGAATAGGAGGACCTGCCGCCTGCGTATGCAAGGTGGAGCTGCGAGTTTCCTGCAAGTCCCTGTTGGACCGAGACACGCTCAATAAGTCTGACCCCTGCGTCATTCTCATGGTACAGAACCAAGGTCAATGGACTGAAGTGAGTTTCCCTTTTATCTCTCTTTATTGAGGCTTCATTTGATCCTAGTATTGTTGACAGAGCTGTCGTTTTCCTGCAGTCATGTGGTAAAATGTAATTCAGTTCTAAGTACTGGTCAGTCAATGCATTTTTTTTAAAAGGAACACTTCATTTTTTCACTTTTGGCTCATTTTACAACTCCCCTAGACATAATTAGTTGAGTTTTAGCATTTTTTAAAACATTCAGCTGATCTTCAGGTCTAGCAGAAGCACGTTTACCTTAGCTTAGCATGTATAATTGAATCAAATTAGACAACCTGGGCTCATTGTGGAAACGTAGTCCCGCGGACGTTTCTGGAGACCGCGGAATACATCCCGGCGGGTATGTACGGATGCAGTTTTTGTTTTCGTGAATCCGCGAGAGGCCGCTGTTGTGCGCTTTTTTGCACCTCAGACGCCTCTCGCGAGTGCGCTTTGCGCCCGCGCTGTTCTCGCGTGAACCCACCAGAGGCCGCTGTCCGACTGACCGGATGATTGACTGCACGACCGGCCAATCGGGCGACCCGCCCTCCTACAAAAGCCGTCTAAAAAATAAAAGCCCTGATTTTTTTTTTTCCGCGTTTTCAGATTTCTCCGCATTCTCACCCTGTCACAAAACTCATTCACTTAATTTTTGGGATTCTGTTTTTGTCTTACCTGATTGCTGGGACTGCTCTTCTCCGGACTCAAAGCCGGTCGCCGTGGTCAACTCCTCTCTGCATCTCGAGCCTGCCGATGTACACGGTGAGCTGAGTGGACAAACGGGTTGCAGAGGGGAAGCCCTCCACAAGGAAGTAAGCGGTCGGCCGGCAAGCGTGAAAGGGAAGAGCGTCACACCGCCCCGCATCGTTCGCTTGAAAAAAATAAACGCGGCTGTACGTACCTCCCGGGACGTATTCCGCTGTCTCCAAAAACGTCCGCGGGACTACGTTTTCATAATGAGCTTGGGTTGAAATTAGACCATTAGCATCTCAGTCAAAAATGACCAAGGAGTTTTGATCATTTTCCTAGAATAATAGTAAAAGCTTGATTCTTGTTACGATTTTAAAGATGGTAAGTCAAGGGGAAAGGGGAGTAATATTAATTTTGGGTGAAACACACAAGCAAACACACAATATCAACAAGCGAGGGAAAAAATACCAAGACTAACTAAATGCAATGAAGTGAGTTTATTTACAAAGATAGTGTTAATAATAAAAAGAACATTAAATATTTACAAAGATACACTGAAATTTACAGATAACAAATGGGACACAAGACGTTTGACCAGATAGATGGGAGAGTTGGAGAAATGAGATGCGGGCGGCGTCCAAACTTTAAAAAGTAATAAAACAAAACAATCTATTGGCATAAACCTCTACCCTAACTATCCAAAAGAAAAATACAGCGGTTATTGAAAAGAAATCTTCGCCTCTATTACGCACTACCTAACCTACTCTAATATAGGATGAGAAAACAAAAGTACAGTGGGTGGAGCACGCCCCTTACCTAGTGTGTCTAACAACAGAGATATTCAAACTACGTGTGCACAATGTTTTTTCGCACAACATTCTTACCTGTCCCACTCTACAACCTCAGATGCTCATGACACTGATGGTAGACAAATTGAGAACAGACAAATAACAACGGACAGATACCAAAATTTAACACACAATAATCGAATATCAAATTCACTGACACACAGCACAACACAGAAATTCAGGGCCTCCCGAGTAGCGTACTGTCACCAGTTTTATGCCATGGTGTCAGCGGCTGGATTGGAGATCTTGGGTGAGGGGGGGCACGGCAAACAGCTGGGCAGCGGTAGCCAATCAGAGCCACTGTATGGGTGGAAGCGGGAGAGAGGTAGAGATCGAGCGGGCACAGGGAGAGAGAGAGAGAGACTAGCGAATAAAAATAATAATAATAATCACGCTACACAGGAATGTTACAATTCTTCTGTAGTTTCATGGTTAACTAAGACTTATCGAAAATTAGAAGTTGCTATTTTCGGTCGATATGCCTAGGAACTGTATTCCTCCATGAACCAAGGTCAAAGGAATTAAGTGAGTTTTCCCTTTATCTCTCTTTATTGAGGCTTCATTAGATCCTAGTAGTGTTGACAGAGTTGTCATTTTGCTGCAGTCTTGATTGTGGTCAAATGTAATATGGCAATAAACTTTTGGCTCATTTTCCAACTCCACTAAGACTTATGGAAAATTATAAGTTGCTATTTTTAGGTCGATTTGTCTACAAACTATATTCCTTCATGAATCAAGGTCTTTTTCTCTCTTTAATGAGGCTTCATTAATTCCTAGTGTTGTTGACAGTACTGTCATTTTCTGCAGTCTTAGTTATGGAACTGGCCAGCCAATGCATAGTTTTAAAGGAACACTCCACGTTTTCAATTTTTGGCTCATTTTACAACTTCTCTAGAGCTAAATAGTTAAATTTGACCATTTTTGATTCCATTTAGCTATTTTTTTTTTGGCTCTAGCGAGAGCTCTTTTAGCTTAGCATACATAATTATATCCAATTTGACAATTAGCATCTCACTCAAAAATGACTGAAGAGTTTTGATTACTGTCTTATTTAAAGCTTGACTCTTCTGTAGTTACATATATATGCCTAAGAACTATATTCCGCCATGAACCAAGGTCAATGGACTGAAGTGAGTTTTCCCTTTATCTCTCTTTATTGAGGCTTCATTGGATCCTATTATTGTCTTATTTGTGGTAAAATTTATTTCATGTAACTCAAAATGTAACTCAATTTTTCATTTTTCGCTTATTTTACAACTACCTTAGAGTTAAACAGTTGAGTTTTAGCATTTTTAAAACATTCAGCTGTCTAGCGGGAGTACTTTTAGCTTAGCAAAAATGATTCAATTGGATTAGACCATTAGCATCTCAGTCAAAAATGACCTATGAGTTTTAATCATTTTAAGTTAAGCTAGTTAAAGCTGGGCTTTTCTGTAGTTTCATTGTGTACTAAGACTGATGGAATATGATCAGTTGTTATTCTTAGGTCGTTATGTCTAGGAACTATAGCCCTCCATGAAGCAAGGTTATAGACTGAAGTGAAGTGTGTCGTCCCTTTTTCTCTATTTATTGAGGCTTCATTAGATCCTGGTATTGTTGACAGTACTGTCATTTTCTGCAGACTTAGTTATGGTAAAATGTAATTCACTTATAAGTACTGGCCAGCCAATGCATGCTTTTAAAGGAACACTCCATGTTTGCACTTTTTGGCTCATTTTATACCTTCTCTAGAGCTAAATAATTATTTGAATTTGACAATTTTTGAATCCATTCAGCTAATTTTTGGGTCCAGCAAGAGCTCTTTTAGCTTAGCTTAGCATACATGATTACATCCAATTAGACGCTAAGCATCTCACTCAAAAATGACTGAAGAGTTTTGATTATTGTCTTATTTAAAGCTTGACTCTTCTGTAGTTACATATATATGCATAGGAACTGTATTCCTTCATAAACCAAGGTCAACAGACTGAAGTGAGTTTCCTTTTATCTCTCTTTATTGAGGCTTCATTGGATCCTAGTATTGTTGACAGTGCTGTCATTTTCCTGCAATCTTAGTTGTGGTAAAATCTATTTTATGTAACTCATAATGTAACTCAATTTTTCATTTTTGTCTCATTTTACAACTCCCTTAGCCTAGAAATAGGTCCCACTTTATATTAAGTGTCCTTAACTAGTACTATGTACTTGCATTAAAAAAATAAAAAATAAATTAATACAATGTACTGTGTTTATGATGTATTTGAGAACACTCGTGGTGCTTTTGAGTTGGGATAGAGGTTGTGTTATTAACAGGTTTGGTGGCATGGGTAGGTTTAAGGGTGGGATAAGGTGTAAGGGATGGTCAACAGTGTATTTACAAATGTAACTACAAAAGTTAATTAGAGATGTAATTACATACTTTTATTTAATCAAGCATAAGTACACAGTAAATACATGTATTTACACAATAGGTACATTGTAACAAACTATTAATTCCTGTGTAAATACATATTAGTTAAGGCCACTTAATATGAAGTGGGACCGATTAAATCGGATTAGACCATTAGCATCTCAGTCGAAAATGACCAAGGAGTTTTAATCATTTTCCTAGTTAAAGCTTGACTCTTCTGTAGTTTCATTGTGTACTAAGACTGATGGAATATGATTAGTTGTTATTCTTAGGTTGTTATGTCTAGGAACTATAGTCCTCCATGAAGCAAGATTATGTACTGAAGTGAACCGAGTCGTCCCTTTATCTCTCTTTATTGAGGCTTCATTTGATCCTAGTATTGATTGAGCTGTCATTTTCCTGCAGTCTTGTGGTAACATGTGACTCAGTTCAAAGTACTGGCCAGTCAGTGCATTTTTTTTAAAAGGAACACTCAATTTTTTCACTTTTTGGCTTATTTTACATTTTCCCCAGAGCTAAATAGTTGAATTTTACCATTTGTGAATCCATTCAGCTGATTTTCGGGTCTAGCTGGAGCTTAGCTTAGCATATATAATTGAATCCGATTAGACCATTAGCATCTCACTCAAAAAGAGTTTTAAAAGTTTTCCTATTTAAAGCTTGACTCTTCTGTAGTTACATAAATATGTCTAGGAACTATATTCCTCCATGAACCAAGGTCAGTGGACTGAAGTGAGTTTTCCCTTTATCTCTCTTTTTTAAGACTTCATTTGATCATAGTATTGTTAACAGTGCTGTCATTTTCCTGCTGTCTTAGTTTTGGTAAAATGTAATTAATCTAACTCAAAATGTTTCTCAATTTGAAATGTATTATTATTTTTTATTATTTTATAATGACTGAAGAGTTTTGATAGTTTCCTGATTTAAAGCTTGACTCTTCTGTAGTTTTGCACATGACTGCGTGTAGTGTAGCACATGACTGGGTGTAGCTTTGTTGGATTTTGATCTGTACCAGCTGGCCGATACCCAATCCAGCAAAAATATGCAGTATTGAACCAATATCTGATCCAAGT